GGCGCCCCTGTTGGTTTTTTTTTGTTGTTGTTAGAAGTATTTTTTTTAATAGCATAAGCTCATTAAAAAATGCACACATCTGGCAGGGGTCCATGGATTGGTGTCTGAGAGAGTTGTCTCTGAATTCCCTAAAATTGTGTGAGAAATGGGGTGTGGATGCAGCGTTTATCTGAGTGTGGTTGTAGTTTTTATCAGACCCACAAAGAGCTCTGTCCCTAGGCTGTGGGATGGGGGTGCCAGTGCCAGAGCTCCAACCTCTCACCCCAAACCCCAGGTTCCTCCAGACAGCAGAGATGGTGAAGCCCTCCACCCCATCCCCCAGCCATGAGTCCAGCAGCTCATCAGGCTCCGATGAAGGCACTGAGTACTACCCCCACCTGGGTGAGAGACTTTCTGGGGGCTGGAGGGGTGGGCAGAGGAGGAATGGGGGGCAGAAACAGGGAGCACTGGGGAAGTGGGGAGCTGGGAGGAAGAAAGAGCAGAATAGATGCTCCTTCCTCTGAGGGTCCCACCCGGCCACCAAGGGTACAAACCCCGAGTCTGGGTCCGGCTCCTGATCCGAATGAGAGCCTTTTGCGGACAGGACCCACGTATGCCCATTTCTGTGACCCTGGCGTCCCCGGCACAGACTCAGGGAGTGAGTGTTGCAGTAACCCGAGTGGCCCTAGGCACCCTGCTCCCCCTCCCTCAGCCGCATGCAAGCCGAGCCTGTGTCCGCTCCGTCCTTGTCCTTGCTCCGCTGTGCTCTGCCCACACACTGCTCTTCTACGAAGGTCTAGTTCATTTAGGTCACCCTAGGCCGAGATTTCCCTACTTCCTCTGTCTCACCAAGCCCCTGGTGCCTTCCCGGCTTACTTCTGAGCCTGTGCCGGTCTTCCTCTTCTGTTGTTTCCATCAGACCAGGGGCTCCTTGGGGGCGGAAACCACATCTGACTCACGTCTGGGTCCCCAGCACCACCCAGCACAGGGCCTGGTGCTAAAGCAAAGTAACTGTCATGTAAACATTCACGAGTGCTCTGAGCCCAGGGGTAATGGCAGATCTTTGGCATGAGAGGGGAAGTCCACACAGCCAAGCCCCAACAGCCTCACAGGACTGCATCTCTCTTCCCACCCCTCAGTCTTCCTGCAGAACAAAGCTCGCCGAGAAGACTTCTGTCCTCGAAAGCTGCGACAGATGCACCTGATGATTGACCAGCTCATGGCTCACTCCCACTTGCGTTACAAGGGTGAGGGTCCCTGAACCACCCCCAAGCTGGCCAACGGCCTCTTGATTCCTGATTTGATCCCGTGGCCCAGATGTCCAGACTGGCCTCCTGACCCTAACTTGACGCTCATCCATGTACCTCCCCTGCCCTTCAGCATAGTACCTGCAGGCTGATGGGTTCTCTCCTCCAGGTACTCTGTCCATGTTACAGTGCAATGTCTTCCCTGGGCTCCCAGCTGACTTCCTGGACTCTGAGGTCAACTTGTTCCTGGTGCCCTTCATGGACAGCGAAGCAGAGAGCGAAAACCCACCAAGAGCAGGTATGGTTCCCCCTGGAGGGAGACACAGGATGCCCTGGTGTGGGGTGGTAGGGACCCACACTGGTCTGAGGGGAGACTCTGGCTTGTCCCGAAGGTGCTTGGACCCTTTCTTAGGAGTGTGTGTCCGAGTCGTGGAAGTACAGGAAGAGCTGGGCTGGGTCTGAACGGGGAGGTACTCCTGGCATTCCAGCCCAGGATGCTGGGTGACCGGGAGAAAGGAAAGGCCCTCTCTTGGCAGGCTGGCCTTCTTATCCTCCTCACCTCAACGTTCCAGGACCTGGTTCCAGCCCGCTCTTCTCCCTGCTCCCTGGGTACCGGGGCCACCCCAGTTTCCAGTCCTTGGTGAGCAAGCTCCGGAGCCAAGTGATGTCCATGGCCCGGCCACAGCTGTCACACACAATCCTCACTGAGAAGAACTGGTAAGAGCTCTTGGCAGAGGGGTCGGCGTGAGGGCCCCACCCTGGTGCAGGCAAGAGGAAGGTCTCAGTGATCTCTCCCCATCTCAGCTTCCTTTTCTGAAACATCGATGATTGCTTCCATGCCGGGCAGCATGCTGCGTCATGTGATCTTGAGTCCTCCCCAGTAGCCAGCAGGGTTGAAGTCTTGTCACCAGTTTTCCTAGTGGGGAAATCTAGGCTCAGAGAAAGGAAATGTCACATAGCACCGTCACACACCTGTGGCCAGGTGTCATTTGATAGTGAGGAGTAGGAACAGGGAGCCCAGTCAGCCTGAGGAGTGTTTATTCTGAGGCCCTGAGGACAGAAAGTGTGGCTTCACAGGAGGGGACACTGGGATGTCCCCACAGCAGCTGCATTCTCCAGCTCTCACCGGATGGCACAGTCGCACTGTCCCCCTCCACCTTCCCTCCTTCTCTGCCGACTAGCTTTCTCTCCCCTGCTCTCACAGAGCCCTGAGCCCCCCCAGCCCCGACTTCACACGACTCTGTGTCTGGAGCCCACGGCAGGTCTGCCAGATCCAGGTCGGCACCATCTCCTTTCCGGGAGACACACATTTGAGAGGGAGATGGCTCGGCTCGGGGCAGCTCTAGCGTGGCTCCCCGGGGTCTGCGGTCGGCTGTGGCCAGAAGGGGCCGGGAGCTCTGTTCCTCTCACTGCCTATGGCAGAGCTCGGGGTGGCGAGGGTCACGCAGCTGTTAGACTCATCATTAGAAGACTCTGGAGGGAGATAGAGGTAGAAAGCCAACCCACAAAGGCCAACACCGAGTGGAGTGGGGAGAAGTTTGGACTCGGAGTTGGGGCCTGAGGCCTGGGGTCCAGACCGGGCACCTTCAGCTCGGCTCACCCTGGGTGAGGTCTGAGAACCCGGCCAGTCCCGTCAGCATTACCGTCTCCCCTGCGTCCCGACCAAGGAGGCTCTTCTCTCGGGGCGTACGGGGCGTACGCAGGACCTGTTCTCCCACCTGACCGGGGTCAGTGCAAGGCTGGCCGGCCACAGCCAGGGCAGCTGACTGCTGACCTCCTCCCACAGGTTCCACTACGCTGCCCGGATCTGGGACGGCGTGAAGAAGTCCTCTGCCCTGGCAGAGTACAGCCGCCTGCTGGCCTGAGGCCGAGGGAAGGCACGTCATGCAGAGAACCCACTTCTGGGTCCCCATGGATGGTGAGGGAGCACACGTGTCCTACCCCCCTGGTGGGCTGGAGAGTGGCAGCAGGCCTGATGGATGAGGGACCGCGACATTCTCGCCCAGAGACATGAGGTGTCCAGGGCCAGGCCCCCCCGCCCTCAGTGGAGTATTGTTCAGGGGGCAACCTTGAGATCCCACCTCCAACCTGGGACAGGGCGGCCCATCCTCAGTTCCCCGCAGGGACAGGCAGTGGGAGTAGTCTGAATGGTCCCCAAGAATCCCAGGTTCCATCTTGACCTCCCTCTGCAGGGACAGGAGCAACAGGTTCCTCCTCCCTGACTGTAAGCCCTTTCCTATAAGGTGCAGCAGGGTCTGGGGAGCTCTTCGTTGGGGCAGATCTGGTGGTTCGAATAAAAACAGTCACGCAAGCCTGTTCTGGTGCTTCTCTTCTTCCCCTTTCCCCAGCATGCTGTCCTGGGGACCAGGGCAAATTGGGGTCCCAGCCTTTGGGGGCAGAGTACCTGCAGCCACCATTGGAGCCTGAGTGAACGTCCCATGGGAGCACATCCACTGTAGGTCATAGAGTTGGCAGGAGCAGATGGAGACCAGTCTCTGCTAAGGAGGAAGCCCCTAGAAAGGGGTATTCTGTTTCCTGGGATGACATCAAGCCTCCCATCTCCGTGGTACTGACAGGAAAATACAGTGCCCTCTTTTGGCTAAATGCAGTTCCTACCCTCATGTCCTCTGCTTTCAGTTGGGGACAGTGCCTGCCTTCGGTGAAATGCCTAGTTAAATGCAATGCCTAATTCAATACATGCTTAAAAAATAGAACATATCCCGGTTCAAGATAGTACTTACCCTGTGTTGAAACAGCTTCTACCCTTATGCAAATACTCCTACCTTACTTACACACAGTGCCTACTGTTGGTTAAATATGGTGGCTTCCTTTCCCCACAGACTTCATCTACCCTTGTTTAAAAGTAGTCTCTACCTTTAAATCCAGAACTGACTCTCAGTCAGATACACCATACACTTCAATATAGGACCTACCCTCATCTCAGTTTAAATAGGCTACGTCTTAGCTTGGTGTTTCCCAAAGTATGTCTCCAAATTGGTCTGGCCACCTCACCCAACCCCAACTAGTCCTGACCTTCAAATCCTGCTGTTCCACCCTTCACATTGGTTCCAGTCACCAGCCGAGTCTGCCCGCTACTCCATACCCCTTTGGTCTCCCTGCCTTCCTCCTGCCCTTGGGCATACCCATACAGTCCTGGTGTCCTTGTCATGGGAATCCCGGGGGGTGTTGAAGAAAACACTCAAGCCAGGAGTGTTTTCTCTCTCTTGAGCAGATCTCTCAAGAGCGAGGCGCTAAGGTTTGGGAGGCCCGAGACCCAGGGCAGGCTCTGGCCCTGCCACTTGCTGACCGAGAAAACGTTAGGCAAGAACCTCCCTTGATGATCCTCAAGGCCCTTCCGAGCTGTGACGTTCACTGTCCTCTTAGGGAAATGCTTCTGAACCCTTTGCCCCACTGCCCTGACCTACACCAACACCTTCCAAAGTGCCTTCTCTAGCTAGACGACGGAGTTCCTCCCTCCCTTGTCCCATGTCCTGCCCCCTCCCTCTCCATCCCAGGGGGCACTACTGGTTGCTGTGGGGGTTCAGAGCAGGGAAGGTGGGGGCAGTGGCCAGAGAGGGCATAAGACCCAGGGCTCAAAAGCACAAACACAGCACACGGGCTCAGTCCAGGAGAGTTGGAGCTTGAGTTTCTTTCCATCCCCCGACACCACCCAGCCTGGGGACAGATAGAACCTGTATCTTCCCAGTCCTTCACTGCCACCTCCAGCTGGTCTAGGCTCAGGGCTGGGATCATTGATCGGATCTCTCCGGGAGCTCATGGTCGGGAGTCATCGAGGAAGGCCTGAAGCAGCACTCTCTGGGCGTCCTTGACTGCCTCGTCCAGAGACGTGCGGGGCATCTGGTAGATGGTGGCGAAGGAGAGGCCACAGGTGGCCAGGGTGCCGAGGACGGGCACGTTGAGGAGCTCCTGGGTGAAAGCAGAGGCATCCCGGGAGGCCTGGCCCAGCAGTTCCACCACCAGCGCCTCGGTGACGGTCTTCGGGCCCCGTGCCGCCTCCAGGATCTTGCGCAGGGGTTGGCCCGTCTGGCCCGCCAGCGTGACAAGGGAGTCCTTGTCCAGGCCAAAGCTGCGGCGGTAGCCTTCCAGGGAGTCGATGAGCCTGTGTAGGTCACACGCCACATCCTGGACACCCGGCACGGGGCTCGGGTTGACGCCACAGGCCACTGCGGCCACCAGCCAGATGAGCTGCCGTAGCGAGGCTGCCTTCCTCTCTAGGACGGGCTCGGAGACGGCAGGCATGGCCAGCAGAAGCACGTGCCGCTCGTGGCTCTCGAGGTCCTTCGCCATCACCTCCTCCAGCCGGTGGAAGTCGTACTTGCCCAACTCAAACGTGGAGAGCAGGAAGACCTTGGGGTCCTTCAGGCCCCCCGCTGCGGGAGACAAGAGCACCGAGCGGTTTTGGCGCCGGGGCAGGCCACGGTGTCCTGACAGCTGCCAAGGCTCGAGCACTTGCCAGGAGCGCACGGCACGAGGCTGGAGAGTGTTGGCCCCGGAGCCAGGCTGCCTGAGTTCCGATCCCAGCCTTGCTCCCTACCACCCGCGTGGCCTTGGGCAGGTTACCAGATCAAAGGAGGGGAAGGATAATTGCACCTCCCTCCTAGGGATGCTGTGGTGGTGAAGTGAGTGCATGAAAATGGTGCATTTGCACTGCTCTAACTTGGCAAATACACGAGCCAGCACACGGCCTGTTTCCTTAATGCAGGTGATTGGTCTCTGTCACCTGTGACTGAGAAGCGCCAACTCTCAGGAAATGAATGGCAGCTGTGAGCATCACTTCACTGCGGGGCCGAGCTGGGTCACGCAGTGTGACATTGGACGACCCCTTTCCCCACTGCGGGCCTCCGCTGGAGGAGGAAGGGGAAGGGGCCGGCGGTCCCTCCAGAATCCACCCGGCCCAGCCGCCCAGAGCCTGCCCCTCACCCTCCAGCCGCCGCCAACAGTCCTCCCGGATCTGGCTGAGCACTCTCTCCTCTGAGAAGGTGCTGGGGCGCCGGCTGCGGGAGGCGGCGATGTCCACGTCCACCTTGGAGCGGATGAGGTAGAAGCGCTTGCCCAGCTGCAGGATCTCACGGGCCAGCTGGGCGTGGTGGGCGGTGAAGCTCATCACATCATCCGAGGTGATGATGATGAAGAAGTCGTAACGGGCCGGCAGCACCCGCTGGAGGTATTTTTCAGCCTGGAAGGTGGGCGTGCTGATGCCCGGCAGGTCCCAGGTGATGACGTTGGGGTACTTAGGGTGTGCGTATGGCGTGGGCCCCACCGTCATTTCCACCACGCCCGTGTAGGCCGATTTGGGGTCCTCGTCTCCCAGCCCCCTGATGGTATTGACAAAGGTCAACTTGCCTGAGCCCGTGCCCCCGGTAATGCCAATGTCCAGCCTGGCATTCTCCAGCGAATGAAGTGTGGTCTGCAGCTTGGCGGCTACTGCCGACAGGTCGCCCTCCTCGAAGGCTCCCTTCAGAGCACTGGTGTCCCTCCATAGCTCCGGGATCTTGGACAGGCTGAGGCTCGACTGGAAGACTCTGCTCGCCATGGGCTACCCGACATCCAGGCCTCCGTCTTCAGGATCGGTGACCTTCAACAGGACAGGTAAGGGAGCACTTGCCCTCTCTTCTCTACATCCCTCAGCATGCCCCAAGTACTTGAGGCGTCACCAGCCATCGTACTGAGAGTGCAACCATATGCCAGGCCCGGTGCTAAATGCTTGAGGTCGCTTCGCTTTTATTCATCACTGCCAGGTTCTCCTCCTGGAGTATCTCAGAAAATCCTCCTAACAGCCGGAAAAGGAGATTCCCTTACTAGCCACATTTGGCAGTGAGAGGAGAAATCAGTTGCCCAAGGCCCCCAGCTAGTGCATGGAGTGTTGGGAATGGGAATTGGGTCTTATGATCATAGAATTCAATTCTTTTTTTTTTTTTTTTTAAGATTTTAGTTTTAAGTAATCTCTACACCCAACATGGGGCTCAAACTCCCAACCCTGAGATCAAGAGTCGCACGCTCCACTGCCCTAGCCAGCCAGGGGCCCCTAGAATTCAAATTCTTAAATAACATTGTATGGCATTTACTGTGCACCAGGCACTCTGATCAGCAATATAGGGCAGTAATGAAGAGCTGGACCCGTCATCATCGCCGATAGCAGTTAATGTTTGTTTGCTCACTGTGTACTCGGGGCCAGCCACTGTTCTAGCCACAAGCATCATTTCATTAAGTCCCCACTGTGCAGAGTAGGAAACCGAGGCACGGGGAGGTAAAAGTCGCTCACTAAATGTCTTCCAGCCTGCACTGGAGCCAGGACATGGATCAGCGCCCTCCCATCCTTTTGCCATACAACCTCCCCACCCCATCCTTGCACAGCTGAGCACCCGCTCTGGGCCAGGCAGGACCTCTTTGGGCACTGCAGCTCCAGCACCAGGAAAAGAGACTCGGCGGGACAGGCCTGGTGTACTTGTGAAGACGCTGCGCCCAGCGCTGCTGGCTTCCGAGTACCCACATCTGCTCGGGGAACCACAAGCCCCGCCCGGCCTCTGAGCCTCAGAGTCCTCACTGGTGTGATGGCCTGGGGCACCAGCGCTGACACTGGGAATGCATGACTGCAACCAGTCCCGGCCGTGCCAGGGACTTGGGTGCCGGTGGGTGGGTCATGTCCCCTCTGCAGACTTTATTTCCCCTATCTGTTCGGTTCCTCACCTGTGAAGTGGAGCGATGACTCCCCCTGTTTTAGGAAGACTCAGGGTCTTTCTGTTGACAAGCTTCAGAGACCAGCTTGGGAAGGGCTTGGAGCATCAGGCTGAGCTTGATCTTTCTCTGGGGTACCATGGAAGGGTATTGAGCAGGGAAGGGAGAGGTGCACGGTGGACATTGAAGAGCCCCCTGTGGCCTTTGGGGAATGACACTGGAGCCTGGGAGATGAGGCAAGGGGCAGGGGCAGGAGCTGGTGGAGAGGGTGAGGCCTATGCTAAAACAGAGGCTGAGGGGGTAGAGATGGGGGAGGGGAAAGGGAGAGCTGGAGGCAGAAAGGACAGGACAGGGCGACCAGTTGATCTTAACCTGTGTAGGGAGCATCACTATTCATGCCTGCCCTTTCCATCCCAGCCACTCGGGCGGAGCCCATGAGTCCTGTGTTTTGGATGATGTCTGAGGGTGCACAGCTGTAGAGACGTGAGCTGGATTTTTGAGAACAGATTTGGAGTGGACCATCTGTCCTCGTATCTGGGGGTCTGGGATTTCCCTACCATTATCCCCCATACCCTCATGGGTGCAGAAAGGTCCATGTGAACCCAAAAGTAGTCCTGGCAGAGCCACTGGGAAGGCCTTCCATAAAGAGAAGAATCCTGTTGCACAGAGCTCTTCGGCAGAGCGGACTGGCACCCCCTTTAATCCTCCAAGTGAAAGTGGCCCCTCTTTGTATGGAACTGTTTCCTAGGTTCAAGGTCATTTGAGGCCCCAAATAGAACCATCCCCAGATCTGGGAGTACCCATAGGTGGTATTTGTGAACACCTAGGGGTGAGGCCACCTCCCCTGCACTGCAGTCCCCACTCCACCACCGGCCTTGTACACAGCTTCCGGAGCCTTCTTGCGAATTCCTGGAAACTCACCTTTCTCAAAGACACCTAAATCCGACCCTTCCCTGACCCCGTGTCCAAGTCCACAGAAGCCCTCCGGGCAGCCCTTGTCCTGTCCAAAGACCCTAATCAGGTAGTTTTTTAATCTTCTATACGTATGTGACCCTTGGCTTGGCACGTGAGGTCAGGCTTGAGCGGGTAGGAGGGGGTCAGGTTCACTTTTGCATTCCCACCGAAGAGCCAAGGACAAAGCAAGAGGGAGTGCCCGGGGCTTGGTTTCACAGACACAGACCCCCTCACCCCGTGTTGCGCCTGCCCAGCGACACCTGCAGCCACATGCCCCCGCCGCCTGGCTCGGCCCCATGGCCTTCAGCACGACCCCAGCACTCGTGCACCCACACAGCCATGCGGACCCAGCGGGTGAAACCCCAGTCGGCAGACCGCTCACAACCTCAGACCCACAGCATCAAAATCCCGGACACTTACCCATGCTCCTCCCAATCACAGACACACCGGAAAGCTTATCGCCACACACATTCCCGCACACACACCTGCACGCTCTCCAAAACGACGTGTTCTAGGTGGCGGGATTCGCCCTCTGCCCCCTCTCTCCTTTGGTGGGCAAAGAAAGAGCCCACCAGCCTTCCAGCCCAAGGCCATCGGGCCTCCCCTTCCCCAGCCCCCGACACCCACCATCACTCACTAGCAGCCGGGCGGCCCAGGATGTCCCCTGTCCCCTGCCCTGTTTAACCGGTTGCTAGGCACCATTGGGCCGATCCTGGGCACCGATTGGCCGCCCCTCCCCCCGCCCAGAGGAGGCCTGTGGGACACGGGGCTTCCCAGAAAGGGACCGGAGATGGCAGCAAAAATAAGTACCGTAACCAGCCCCAATCTCCACTAAGTTACCCGCGCACTGTCTTGGATCCAGGCCGGGCTATTGCCCCACAGAGCTCCCTTGGCTCCCAGGGGACCAGGGAGAGAGATCCCACCAAGGCGCCCTTGGCCCGCCATGCATACCTTGAAGCTCTGCCCACCCGGAGCAAGGCCCATCCCGGTTCAGTGTGTCCCACAGGCCTCCTCAGACCCCTCCGAGCCTCCCTGCCTGCACACCTCCCCCCCTGCCCCGCCGAGTTGGGAGCGCTGGCGCCCTCAGCAAGTGCAGGGCACGTTTTCACTACACTGGCTTTGTTCAGCTGGTTTTGTTAAGGCTTGGTTTGTGGGTGAGGCAGGGGGTGGGGGCCGCACGCTCATTTCTCTTCTGACAAGTCACGCTTCTTCCAGCTGTCGAGAATATACTTGAGGAGGAGGCCGAGCTTCCGGCGGACCGAGAGCGGAGCTTCTTCACAGCCTCCCTCCCCGGAGCCCCGCTTCTCCACACCATTGTCACCGGCCGCCTCCAGGCTGACCTCAGACTGCGGCTCGTCCTCCTCCAGGGCCTTGATGCGGACCCGCTGGGCGTCCTCGGCCATCTCATTGAGGCAGCCCTGGAGCATGGTGTAGACAGTGCCGAAGCTGATGCCGCCGGCCACCAGGGTACCGAACACGGGGATGCCCTTCTCAAAGGCGCGGGCCACCCGCATGGCGCCGTCGGACGACTGCGAGTAGAGCCGCAGGACGGTTTCTGGCGAGACCTCGTTGGCCAGTGGCGAGCGGATGACAGAGCGCAGGTCCCCCGCCTGCTTGCCCACCTGCTCGGCCAGCTTGGCCAGCGAGTCTTCATCCAGGCCAAAGCTGCGGTGGTAGCCGCGCAGCGAGCGGATGAGCAGCGCGTCGTCGTAGGCGGCCGCCAGCCCCGGCACGGGCAGGGCCTGGATCACGCCCGACACCAGGGCCGTCTTGAGCGCCTGCTTCTGCAGCATGTCCTTCTTCTTCTGCAGGGCCTCCAGCGAGACAGCAGGCAGCGAGAGCAGGCCGGCGTGGCGCCGGTGGGCCGGCAAGTCGTGCTCCCAGGTGGACACGAGCAGCGGGAAGTCGTAGCGCACCGGCGACAGGTTGGACACGAGGAAGATGCGGGGGTCGCTCGCGCCAGCCACCCGAAGCCGCTCGGCACAGTGGTCGCGGATCTCCTGCAGGACGGCCGCCTCGCTGAAGCCCGAGGGCCGCTGCGTGCGTGTGGCCGCCAGGTCCTCGTCCACCTTGGTGCGCACGAAGTAGAACTTCTTGCCCTGGCGCAGGATCTCCGAGGCCAAGCGGGTCTCCACGGCCCCGCAGCGGCGGGGGGAGACCAGCAGGAAGAAGTCATAGCGGCCGAAGTCCACCTGCTTCAGGTACTTGTCAGCCGGGCAGCCCGGAGAGCCGGCCCCCGGCAGGTCCCACAGGGTCACGTCGGGAAACTGGGGGTGCGGGTAGGGCGAGGGCTGCGCTGTGGTTTCGACGACGCCCGTGAGGGCCGCGCCGGGGTCCTCGGCCCCCAGGCCGCGGAGGGCGTTGATGAGGGAGGACTTGCCAGCGCCCGACTCGCCGGTGACGCCCACCTCCAGGCGGATGCTCTCGGAGGAGGCCAGTAGCTCCCGGAGGCGAGAGGCTGCCTGCGGGAGGTCGCCCGACTCGAAGGCCGTGCGCAGGGCCTCCAGCTCTTCCTTGGCCATGAGGATGGTGGTCTCCTCCTCCCGGGGCACTGCTGGCAACTTCGAAGTAGCCATGGTGACCAGCGCTTCAGAGGGTGCGGGGGCTGGGGGAGAGTCACGGGACGCGGGGTTCTCAGCGTCCGCGGGGTAGGAGGGAGCCGCTCACTTCTCCTGGGCCTTGGCACAGGGCAGGGAGAGAGAGACACCAAGGATATAAGGGAAGTCCCTCTGGCCCGCCCCTTCTCAAAAAACCCCCGGTACATGATCCGACACGAGGTAGGGGGCTTTGGAGTCTCACAGGCCCAGGCTCACATCCCATCCCTGCCACTGACTTGCGTGTGACCTGGGGCAGAGTGAGGTACCTCTCTGAGCCTGTTCCTCTGCATAAAGGGCATAGTGACTG